GCAGCAGTATCAGCCTTGGCTCTAGCTTTGGTAGCGCGCTCGGCAATGTGTTCCATGTCAACGGACACACGAGCCTTGGAGAGGTACCACATAAAATCCTGGATCTGGTCCTTGCTGTTCTTGTGCTCCAAGAGCTGAATGAGTTGGGCAATCCATTTTTTGGAGTAGAAGGTGAGTGCCCGTCCCGAGTCGCTGAGGGCCGAGTTGTCTGGATTCAAGATGGAGGAGGAGAGGAGGGTCCTCAGGTTGGTGATGGCTTGGTCGTTGGATGGCAAGTATCCCTTGGAAAGGGCACGTAGCATCTGGTAGGTATGCAATTTCTGGTGTAGCTGTCTCTGCAACGAAGTATCATCGTCGTAATGAGACAGCAGCGGTGCCTCCTCATCCGGGAGCCTGATACGGCCTCCTCCAAAACACGACGTTATGAGATCCATGGCGGCGGTGTCGATGGGAAAGCAAGTGTTGACAATAACAGTGACAGTGACACGCACCAACCTACATCAGCTTTCCTTGGTGGTGGTCTTGCCAAGCTCACAGACGTTGATTTGGGAAGCGGTTGGAGGTTGTAAATGTTATCTTTCCCGGTTATCGAATACGACCAGCGCTGGGTTATAGATGCATTGCAAATGAGGATGTAGAAGTACCTTAGTTGGTGCAGACATTGCTGTGTTGTAGGGAAGCTTCAGGGCAGGTACAGCTGCCAGTAGCACAGCAATCACGATGACGTCGTTCATCTTGGGCAAGTATAAGTGGTGCCCCGCAACTGCACGGATTTCACTGTCTGAGAAACACCGAAAGCGCTTGGAGACGGCCAACCAGAAGGCAAGGAAGCACAGAGACTGGCTTTCCATTGGCCTGAGAGTAAAACAAGGGCTTTCCACCAGATAACTCACTTTTTCTTCCTCTGTTCATATGTACACGATTGGGTTCCTCTCTATTCGAGCCATCTCGATCTTCTTTCTGAGGCGACTGACTTTTGTTGGATTCTGCAAGTGTTGTCTTGAAAGTTCAAGTTTTATGCAGATGGTCGGCCTTGGCGGGATGGGGCCGCCCGTCTTTATCAGTTTCCCGTCTCCAACGTCGGCTTTTAAGTCCGTCATATTGGCTTGGCACGCTATCCCCTGAAGAGGACTAGGCTATGCGCGCACCGCCACCTCTCCACGAGTTCTCCATCGAAACTCTGGAGAGCTTGGTCGGTTTGGTATCGAATGACATGTAATGATTTGACGATGGTGCATATACTCCGCACTTTCTCTCCATGGAGTAACCTCGTCGCCGTCAGGGCTTCTTTCTTGCCGGTGGTTGTCGATGGAAATTTCGATAACCGCTGGAGTTGAGACTTGGGGCCATTTTGTGCTGTAAGTCTAACAGTCCATCTGCCCCCTCAGCCAATCAACTCCAAGCTTCGAGATATGCCCAGCCCTGGGGCGCTGGTCACCAACACATCTCGTTGGTCGAACATGTCTTCGCATCGCTTCATGTGAAAGAAAAGTCTCGAAAAGGTCATCTGCGTACAGACACCGGACGACAAGATGCCTGGATGCCACATACGGATACGGCCCTACATACTGACACGAGCGACTGTTACTGAGTTGCCCCCTTGGCATGCGGTTTTATAAGCAAGCAACGTGACTTTTTGCTTTGACTCGGGACTCCGGCTCGCGCGAGCTTACTACTGAAGTTCTGCACTGCCACATTCGTCCACGCAACGCTCGGCGGGTACGGATTTGGGATTTTCAAAGTGTCAAGGGAGGCCAACTTCTTTGAATATCAAAATCTTGACCGTCTTTCCCCAACGACGACACCAACAGCAACACCAAAACAACAGAAATCCAATAACGACGACTCAACTCGTCGTTTATTAATCCAGGAACTGCAGGTGTGGCGGTTATTGCAGTCGATCGTTTCCTGTCTGGCCCAAGCTCCTGCGTCAGCAACGTCAGTGCCATCTAGACTTCCCGTCATTCTGCAACCAGTGAACCATCAAGCGCTGCAAGGTCCCCTCCACGCCGACCAGAGCACGCCCTCGACGACGCTTTCGAACCAAGTGACACCAGCACCCGCAACGATATACCCTCCCGCTGCAGCAGTAAGGCCACTAGTTTCTACTACCTGTGTGGTCACCCGCATTTGCGGGCGCATTCCATTCGGGTTCCGCAACCTTCGCCCGTAAGGCACCAAATCCAACAAATCTCAGTCGCAAGCCAACCGATCGATCCCCAACACAAAGAATACTATACACCTTACCCTCGTCGCCATATCTGCGAGAGAGCGCATCTTCAGCAATTCAAGAAGGACAGACACAGGAGGAATACAAGATGGAGGGTGGGCTCAAGAGAAAAGATACAACAAAAGGGCCGCCTTTGCGCATCTTATCGCTCGGTGGGTCTTCTTCCCCCCCAGATTCCTTTCCCCGTGCGCATCAAACAGCTCTGTTTTATATCAGACCAAGCTGTCTGCACCATGCTTTGAAACAAAATCAAACACAGCTTAGCCATGGGCTAACCAACGCGGTGACAGATGGCGGAGGCGTCCGTGGTTATTCCATGTTTCTCATCATCCAAGAGTTGATGCACCGCACCTTTGTCGAAATAGAAGGCAGAGCACCGCGCCGCTCCGAGATCCCTAAACCATGCGACCACTTCGACCTTATCGTCGGCACCGGGACCGGCGGCCTGATTGCGATTATGCTGGGAAGGTTACGACTCGATCTCGAGACATGCAAGGAACTCTATGTGCGCCTTACCCGCAAGGTCTTTGAGACAGACAAGACCATTGCCGGCATTCCCTACCGATCAACCGTGTTCAAGGCAACGAAGCTGGAGGAAGCTATTCAGGACTGTGTGAGGGAACATACTATCAACGAGAGGGAAGGAAACGATGGCGCTGTTCAAGATACTTTCAGTCCTTTGAGTGCCGTCTCCCGCTCAAGCGCGGCCTCTTCATATCCTAGAAGACACTCCAGCAATGCCAGTGTCGTTAGCTTCAGTGCAAGGAGTCCCAGCGCACAGTCAATAAGGCCCACTTTCAATTCCCGCTGGGGCAATCCCCATGCTCGTCTCTACGACGAGAGGGAGAACCGTACGAAAACGCAAGTATCTCAAGGAGTCCTGGATTAGGAGATAGACCGCTAACAAGTGTTCTAGTGCCGTAACTGCCATGTACAAGGGATCTCCTAGAAACGCGAAGCCTGCCGTACTTCGTTCCTACGACTCGAGAAAAGAACCAGCCCCTGAATTCGACTGCACCATCTGGCAAGCAGGCCGAGCCACCTGCGCCATCGGACTTGCCTTCAAGCCCATACAGATTGGCCAGTCTGTTTTCCATGACGATGGCGTTGGCGTCTTCAACCCCTCCATGTACGCCCTGGATGAGGCGGTGGTCAACGAGTGGCCCGGACGGGAAGTGGGTGTCTTCGTCAGTGTTGGGACAGGAAAGCGGCCAAAGGGAAGTGATATGAACTCTACTCTTTGGTACGAGGGGTTCATGGGCGAGTTCGCGGACGCGAGGAGGAAGCTGATTGCCAAGATTGAAGGGTGCGAGAAGATCCACGAGATGATGAAGAAGGAGCATCTGGTAAAGCGCGGCGTCAACATCGAGAACTACTACCGCTTTAATGTCGAGGTCGGCGTTGGAGAGTTTGGTATGAACGAGTGGCACAGGTTATCCGACATCAGCACAAACACTAGGCGATATTTGCAGCGGGACGAGGAACAGAGAATGGTGCAGGGCGCATCCGCCAAGCTTGCAAAAATCCACTTCGCAAAGCAGCGATGGGAGCGCGCCAGCAGCACCAGCAATGGCCCTGGCCCTATTCCCGAGTTAATCAAGACCACACCCAGCTTTTCCATGCCCCTAGCCGTCGAACTACCCGGCGACATGCCAACCTACCCTCCCCAGCGACTCGGCACGCCGCCAAGCCGACAATCCTACGAATCCGGCTTCGACGCACTTTCCGTCCCTGGACAAAGCGTCAACGGCATCAGCACACCCTCGCCTAGATCCTCAGCCGAGCGCGTCCACTCTGCAAAAAGCAGTAGTAGCCACCTAGCGCCCAGTCGCCCGGCCCCCGCCGTCCCTCCTCCAGTCCCATCCGGGACTAACGACACAGACAAATTCGTCGCCATGGCCCCAACCCCTTCAGAGTGGCGAAACGCCTCAGGGCAAGATAAGATCGCCATCGTCACCGAAGACGATCAGCCCAGGCACCCGCAATATCCCGGGTACCAGAACCAGCAGCAGCATTATCAGCAGCAATTTCAGTATCCGCCGAGGATAGAGCCGCCACCGCTTCCGCCCAAGACGCCGCTGTCCTCGGCGGACGGACTGATCTCGCCGGTTAGTCCTACTGGCAGGAAGAATACCCTGCCGGCTGGGTATGTGCCGTATCCGATTGATGACGATGAGGAGCCGCCTGTTGTGAATATGGCGAGGAAACCTAATTATAATGTGAGGTGAAGAGCATAATACCACGAGCGAGTGAGGTATGGGGGCGAAGCAACACCATGCCTGCTGGCAGGCAACGGTGTGGTGTGGTGTGTTGTGATGTGATGTGGTGTGGTTAGACACAGGCAGCCAGCCAGCCAGCCAGGTACGCCATGGTGTCACCAGGGCCCGAATGACTGGATACGAGAACTGGGCATTGGAAACTCAACTTGGCGAGCTTTCCACACGGAAGTTGGGTGAAGACGAGGATGCGGAGTGAGATGAAGGGGCAGAAGAAGAGGAGATAAGAAGGGAGAAGGGGGGCGTGCGGAAAAGAAGGGAGGAGAAAAATATACCACACACCCACACTCATGGACGACGACAACAAATACTTCATGATATGACGTTATGACACGGAACAACGCGATGATACCACTACATACCAATACCATGTCCTTTTCTTATATTCCAGCTATATATACCATTTCTTACTTCAGCTGTGAGGGTCGGCGCGCGCGCGAAGCGTTATTGGCTTAGAAATGTAATGAACTGGGTTATTATCGCCTTTTCCATGGTGATTATTCTTGTTCTGTTTTCAATGGCTAATGGTTAGCTTTGGTATCTTCTTGTTTACCTGGCAATGGACCGTTTATTGGCGCTGTGGCTATGGTGGCAGGAGAGTAGGATTGTACGAGCTCTAGAAGATACCATAGAAGTGGAAGTCCGGGGCTGAGTTGATGATGATGTGCCCTTCTAGTTCTTCCGTCTTGAATTGAATGACACTTTGATTTTTCAGCTTTGCTCATTTCAGCTTCCATGCTTCCCGCCTGTATCGAATTTGCTTCTGCGTGTGTGCCGGTGTGCCCGTGTGTGTGCATGTTGCGATAAACCTCACCACACCACTTCCCTCCATGTGCTTCTTGTGTAGAGCGTGTTTGCCCGGCTTGTCTCTTTCCTTTTACTTTCATCTGTTTGCTTTCCTGTTTCAACATACCTCGCCTCGCGGGATCACTGACGAAACTGAGCGCATCTGTTTTCGTCCTATCAAACATCTCATTATTTCCGTTCTGCCAGCCACTAGCGAACAACGAGCAGAGCGCACTCTACATAGTACCCAGGTGTCTTCTACCACATGTTAAGTCAGAACCAACCCGTTTCGCGAAGCACACCAAATATAGCAATTCAAGCTCCAGGCTAGCACAGTTACACAACATTCCCTGGCAGACAGGCAGGTAGGCCAGTAGGCAGGCAGGCATCACACAGTGACTACAGACACTGATCAGCTGAAATGAGGAATGGAAGAAGAAGAGCATTATTGATTGGTTTTTTTTCCGGGCCAAGATATCTCACTCGTGTATGCCTTGTTTTTTGTATCATGGTAATGATTATTATCCTTCCAGAAAAGACCATGAAAAGGAGTGGACCGGAGTGGTTCGGTTTACGAAGTTCTCCAAGCGCACTGGTGGCACGCATCGCACGCATTGGGGGAGCCTGATCTCCTTGGGGGAACACCGGCGCACACAAGCTCAGGATGGCTTCTGGGTTTTGGACTTCTTGGATCACCGCAATTCTGAAAGTGTGAACACCGTCAGAAAGTAAAAAGCTGTAGGTGGTTATGGTAAGTAAGAAAGAACGGAGATAAGACCCGGCTTACTTGTTAGGTTAAGGCTATTGAGCTACCCGGCTTACAAGATGATGAACCGGGTACGAGACCCTATACAGCCAATGCTGTTGGAGGTGGAATTCGCTTGCTGTACTATTGTTTGATTTAACATCCGTCCTGTATATAAAAGCACGATCCTCATGCCCATGCCCGCATAGCTCCATGAAACCGGGCGCATATCCCGTGAGAAGTGGTAAATCAGACTCGAGATCTTGACCCAAGGGTTCGGTTCGGGTGGAGCTGTTACCCCTTCAGCCCTACGTCACAGTGCAGTCCAGTGCCGGTAGCGTCGATCAAGGGTAATCATGCTTAATTTGATCTCTTACACTCGATTTCGTTCCTGTGAGCGGTAAGACGTCCATGGAATTGGATAAAAGAAGCGAGCTGCTCTGTTTTGGCCCTTGAAGCTGAAACACGGCCAACGTAGAATATCGGACGTTGAGGGCCTCCTTCTTACGTTACATTAAAGGATTGGCTCCATCAGATAGTAAACACTGAACCCCTATTATCCGAACAGTCTTGGCATTCGTGACTCTTAGGCGAGGACAAAAAAAAAGGTTCTCGGCCAGTGCACACGCAAGGGCCCATCCTAGACAACCTCATAATCTTACATTAGTGCATAGCTGCGCCTCTTTCGAAAGTAACAGCGCTAAAGCTTTCCCGGCAGAGCTGAGGAGGGGAAGGAGGGGAAAGGAGTCTTCACACTGCCGATGCATGTTAAGCCATGTGCCTGTCTTGCCTGATGAGAATGCAAGGCCAATAACGTTCTTGAAAGAGTTTCTGGGGCACCTACCTTTCGTATTCTTGTGTCATGTAACTGGTCCGTAGCTTTTCCGGGATGACCTCCGGTGGCTATCCAACTGGGGGGGTCTGTATCGTGCAAGCGAGGATCATGGGCACTTGCACCGGGTTTCCCCTCAACGTCGGTATGTCCCCAACATGCTGATTTCTCTGGGCTTCTCATGCCTCGTAGGACCACCTGGAAAAGTGCTAACCCGATATCTGCTCAAGGAGGGTTAAGCCAGCTTTGTCTCTACTGGCTCGATCTCTGCTTACCACTCGGCTTCTGCATTGAGCTGCGGCACGAGACGACGGTTTGTGAGACCTGTACCTGTCAGTCGCCGCAAGGTAGCTCTGGGGCAACTTCCTGTTCGCTTGGCGGCTGCTGATCCGGCAGCTCATCCCTGCCAGACGGGTGCACTGCCACAATGGCCTAACGCGAGAGATTTCCTGTCGACCTACCCAAGACTCGGGTCAATGGCAGGGCCACCGATAATGATCCCAGTTCAACATGTTTGTCTGTGGGTTGTGACAGTCTAACGGAAACGAGGAAACGCCTCCACTTCACCTTCGTCGAAACCACTAGTCCGGTAGTGATCACGTAGACCGCCAGTTAGCAAACTACCTACCGAGTCCTTGAGGTCTTGCGGTGGTGTCCAACTTGAACAGCTCTCCAGGCACAAAGCCCGCAACCAATTTCCCAAACAGGCTTGAGGTCGAGTTGATTATGACGTTATCAAAGGAGCTGCTCCTTCATACATGCTTAGGAAGAGCCGAGATCCATGACCTATCAGAATATTCAAGTTTGCATGCGTCCGTCTAAAGTCGCATCGTCCTATGTATGTCGTCGATTTCGGTCGTTGAGAGACATGCGGTGCTGGGAATCAGTGGTAAAATCGTCGTATCAGTCCTGAGACAGCTGTCCTCCCCTTCAGGTGCGCCACTTGAGTCTGTGCTGTGAAAAGGTACTCTGGTACAGGTGTCTCCATGTCGTCGCTTGAGGCTTTGATCAATATCTGTTGTCTGTTGCGAAACGATTCAAAAATGCAGGACTTCGTGTCAGGGTGTTGTAGTCAGCAGCGCCTTCAATCTTTTTAAAGGCGATTATCATGCGCACAAATTGAGTCGATACTTGTGTGCTGGCTTACGGGGTAGAGCAGGTGAGGTTGCAATAGAAGTGTCCGCGGTGTACCCTGTCCCAATCGTGACATACTAATAGTCACCATGTCGAACCATTGCTTTCGAAGGTGGATGTTTGTTATCTCCGCGGACCTAGAGGTGACAAAGTGATGAATTGTATGCAGATTACCGTGATCTGCTGTTCTAGGCTTCGCCCTCCCACCTTAGCACATCTCGCTTCTTGTGAAGCAGTACCGTCGCCAGTGGGTGCTCGCCCACCTGCTCTGCTTCACCAGTGGTGGCTTCTTCTGATAACCGGAGCGCATATTGTACGCTAATCCAAAAGAGTCTGAAAGCCGATGGTGTGCAGGTAAAAGCCTGAAGCTTGTCCCTTGTCGCAGCCATCTTTCGAACGGGACTTACCTATAAGTCAGCCTTATGGCCCGTTAAGCTCATGTCGGCGCAAACCCCAATGACCGTTGTGCTGTCAAACTTGCCGTCCAGACAGGACCATGTCCGAGGCCACACGTCCTCCTGTCGGCCGGTCTTCGCGTGCCGAGAGGACGACAACGTCTTGTGGCGAGTGTCGGAGAAGAAAACAAAAGGTACGATAATTCCGAGTCAGTGTCAAGTACGAGTCTGAATAGGATGGCCAGGCCCAGATTAACCACAACAACATCTGTACTGGTCTGCCATAGACTGACGACATGGTCCCTTCTCCGTAGTGCAATCAGGGTCAGCCATGTAGCAACTGCGCAAGGCGGTTTCCCCAACCGTTATGCGAGTATAAACCCAGCAGCAGGTACATATACCAGCTCCAGGATCAAGGCATGATCGTGTTTGGGAAAAGGAAACTGATCTGATGGATCCAAAGACGGCCTAGCGTAACTCCCATCTCCCAACAATCGGCCTTTGCAATACCCGTGTTGCCTTCATCAGGACGGTACGGCGGGCAGTTCGAAATCGAAGGAACTCGTCATCCTCTCTTGCCCCCGCGGCAGGCATCTTCATCATGGACAGCGAGTCCTGAAGGAGAAACTGGAGCAGTGACAGTTCGCTGGTCAGGGATAGACATTGGCACACAGCTTCCCGTGTCTACCATGATGCCTCAACCGCACGTCTTCAGCAGGACACAGGGCGGTCCAGAATTTGGCTGCAGTGAAGGGTGCACACTCCACACTGACCTATACCATGATGCCGCAAATCTACTTCGAGCGTATCACACTATTCCCGCTCGCTTTCTGAGTGGGAACTGGTCTCGAGAGTGGCCCGGAACAAGTCAGGACCAAGGACATGGGCACATTCCTCCCGCACCTCGACATCCTATCCAGGACAATGACCTGCTAAACATGTGTAAGTTTTCTGCTTTCTCTGGGGGACGATGCGGGCTCGAGTATACGTCGCTAACACTACCGATCAATGCAGTCGTCAACCTGATCGGTAATATGAAAGCATCCCTAGACAGCAACCCCGATGCAACGAACCCGTATATCCAACATTACATTCCATTCTGCCTTCGATCGCCTCTCCTAACTCGCGTGGCCATATGCACCGCCGCAGGCTGGCTCAATGTGACGGGCATGATTGATATGACGGTGGCGATGGCACATAAAGGGCAAGCTATAGCGCTCTTGAATGACCATATCAAGTCAAGTCTGGTAGCCGGAGACGAAGGAATAGCCGGGGTTGTTCAGCTCATTATCAATGAGTGGTATTGGGGCGAAAAGCAGTCCCTTCATGCACATATGGGTGGCCTTTGTGAGATGATTAAACTCCGCGGTGGGTTTCGAACGCTGGGGCTAAACGGCTTGATTAGCAAACTTGCCATAACGTAAGATTCAATGGGGCAGTATGATGTGGAACTGGGTTGTGCTAACAATGAGTGGCAGAGCGGACGTCGGGATTGCATTGAGTTTCGAGATACCGCCTTCTCTACGGGGAGGCAACGAGTTTGACTTCCAAGACAGTACCCAGCCCCCGTTGCAGCTGGCCCTGAACACGCCCCTGATATCCACAATATCATCGGGATCTCTCCCATACTTTGCTTCATGTCATGAGGAGTTCCACATACACCCCATCACAGCTTCGATCCTGGACGACATGCGCTTCCTTGTGTGCACAGTCCTGGGGCTTCCTGACGACGCTTCCCCAATCGAACTACAGAAACTGCATGAGACGTCTAAATGGACTCATGACCAGATGTTGAAGCTTCCGCCGGATGGCCCTGTAGCGAGACGACCTTCTCCGGGATCAGCCAATGCTCCATCTCCAGCGGTGAACACGGCACTTGAGTCACAAACCAGGGGGGGTATGGAGGGCAAAAGCAGGTTCAAGGCGGCTGCATCACCTACGACACAAATCACTCAGCAGTTTTTCAGCATATGTCTCGGGGTTCAGCAACAGGGGACGGGACACAGTTCTGGAGTTGACGCAGGGGAGATATCGCAACGGAGAGAGGGAAGTTTTGGAGAAGACTTAGCTATGCCAGCTAGTGTCGAGGCCCTGGACTATGTGTACCAAGTCATCCGGATATCGGCAATCTTGTACACTCGAGCCATCACGACACGGCGTCCATTTAGCGAGGTGGTCAGCATCGACGATTTCCTGGAGCTCTGGACGACAGCATGGAGGGTTCCGCTGGCGACATGGCGTTCTTTGCTGGGAGTCTGCAATTGGATGCTTCTGCCTCTGATATCCAGTCTGAAGAACACAGGGCATGATCTGTGGGTCAAGACCATGATGAATGCTACCCTGCTACAAATGGGTATGGGGAATTGGGAGATTGCGCGCCGTACCATGGACGCGGCTATGCGGCTTCAACGCTGGCTGAAGGATGGCGACGTCGACGTGAACGAAAACATTACAGCCTCAAACATCGAGCCCAAAAGCGGTAGAAGCAGGAGCGGCAGTGCCAAGAACGAGTTTGGAAAGGAATTCGACGGGCGTCGTGGGAGTGATGATAAGCCGAAGATGACAAGACTGGCGAAGGGAAAGGGAAAGGGAAAGGAAATGGAACCGAAGTGAACTCGAAGTAAAAGTGGTGAAGTAAGAGTGGAAGGAAAGACCACTGCACTGCCGGCATGCAAATGCCAAAACACGGTGGGAGCCTGGAGGCAACAAGTGGCTTTGGAAAGAACGAACTGCAGAGCGCAGGCAGGTACCCGCGCAGAACTCTGGCTGCCTTGTGCGCCTTCCGTTGTCGACAGCACATGAGCAGTCCAATCTCGAGTCGTTTGAGATTTGATGGTCATCTTCACGTACGGAAGGAGTCAAGGCTGCCATCAAGTGTGCCTGACGGGAATAGCATGGCATTAGCGTCAGGCGTGTGTACCTCTATCCGTGTGGGCTGGAATGGTCCGGCAGGTACACGGGCATTGTGTATGTGTGTGCATGTGTGAAGTATGTGTGCAGTTGTTTGTAATATTCTCTTAAACAATTTGCTGCCAAGCAATAAAGAACACGGAAAAGAATTCGAACTTGGAAACATCTTTTCATCGCTCGTCAACTCCCCTTCCTTAGCCAGCAGTGATCGGAGCCCGGTATTTGGTGGCCGGCTTCCCCGCGATCGCGTCATCTCCGGGCCGGGTTTATCACATCGGCTGCCCCGCTCAACCCCGACCGCCCCCGTCCCGCCTCGGAATGTCATACATTACTTGTACCAACGTATTGCGGGAAAGGTGAACTTCTTTTCCTACCATTTTGCATTCCTTCGAATTGTGCTCTTTCTATTCCATGATTCCAACCGATCGCCTCAGCGACTTGCCCATTCGAACACTCCCTCCGTCCACTCTCTTCATCTGGCGGCTTTCCATTTGCCCGATTTCGAAGCTCTTTCTCAACCCTTCTCTTTCTCTCCAACAAGTCATATTAGACACACATATTTATTGCCTAGGTCAAAAATCATCACTCTCCTGTGCTTGATTTGCAACGCCGTTGATGGATTTGGCAGACATCATTTACGTAACCCCAAGAAGAACGATTTATACGACGTCGCCGATAACCTGTGTTTCATGCAGACGGTAAAAGCCATTGCTGCGACAGCCCCCTTTGCCTTTGACATCAATTCTTCTTTGCGATGAATAACATCATTCGACAACCGAAAAGGAGGCCAAAGAGGCGTCGATTGCGACCTCATTCGATTGGCTTTCCCCCTTCCGATAAGACATCGCCATCGACGAGCCATTCAAGACGAGATCCCGCAATGGCAATCCCAAAAGGTCTGGTACTACTCTGAATATCACCGTCGTAGGCATTTGGCATTTTGTCTAACATCATCTTTGCTATCTAGATTACCACCTAGCATGAGGTTGGATCTAACCGCTTTAGGATTCCATTTCCCATGTTATGCAGATGGAAACACTTGAGCGGCACCGGTATCTTCCACTTTGAAGCAACTACCTAACCGCTACCTACTGCTACGTTTCGGAGCACTGGACCGGTATCATCTCAATTTACAGTGTAAACACCCAGACATGACCGGCGACCCGACCCGAGTCAATGGGCAATTTAGTAACTTCACTGGCCAGATAGCTGTCTGAGCCTGCGATTATGTCTTATCTTACGGCCCTCGGCTCGCACAGTGGCGCTCCGTGTTTCACTCTGCGAGTAATGCTCGACATCTTCTTTTCGTTCCCGGAGAAGCCATCCTTGACTGGCTGGATAACAGTTGCCAATCTCGGGGGGGGGGCTATACCAAAGTCTCGGATTCGCTCCCACTCTCTGATCTGCCAGTATGCTATCTTGCGTTATGCTTCCCGCTGCCATCAGATGCGGGGATAATTGTGTGTCAGTACGTAGTCCTTGGGGATACGTACGCCATGGAAGAGGAATAAGTATTGACTCATGGACTCGCCTGGTCTCTGACCTTGATTGAACGACGCGAGTCTCTCGAGTCCAAGCCTCACGGTATACCAACCCCGAACCTCAGAGTTGTGTCGATAACAGCCAGATCACATCTTCTTTGGCCCCAAAATGTCAGGAACCGCCCCCTCCAGGGCCACCGGTCCCTTGGAACCTCACCCAAGTGAGACAACATCACTGCTCAGGAAGCCTCCATCAATCCAGTCTTCCAGCACCCAAGTTGAGGAATCTGAGGCCTTCATCCTACCAGAGTATAGGCTATGGCTATCCGAGCTCTGGCTTCTCAGCAAAATCGCCATACCCGTCATATTCGCCTATACGCTCCAAAACTCCCTCCAGACCGGTTCTATCCTTATAGTCGGCCGTCTAAGTCCGGAAGCTCTAGCCACGGTCGCCTTCTCGTACATGTTCGCCATGTCCACGGCTTGGTTGATCGCTCTGGGCGGCTCAACTGCTCTGGACACTCTAGCATCGAGTAGCTATACAGCTTCATCCAACAAGCATGACCTTGGCATCCTCCTGCAGCGCGGCCTAGCGGTCTTGACCGCATTGTATGCCATCGTGGCTTTGATATGGACCTTTTCGGAGCCTTTGTTCCGACTGCTTGGCCAGGAAGAGTACATTTGCGTAGAGAGCGCCATGTTTCTTCGACGCCTCATACCTGGCGGTTTGGGCTACATCTGGTTCGAGTGCATGAAGAAGTTCTTGCAGGCTCAAGGTTAGTTTTCCATTACTCACCTTTCTCAATGCCTCGTCCATAAACTTCCGTAAAGTGCCGGTTACTAACCCGTTTCTCTATCAACAGAAGTCTACCGCCCAGGAACTTACGTCCTCCTCATCACTTCCCCTCTCAACGCCTTGCTTAACTACTTCTTCATCCACAAACTCGGTCTCGGTCTGCACGGCGCTCCTCTCGCCACTGGTATCTCGTACTGGTGCTCCTTCTTCCTCCTCGTCGCGTACGCCACCTTCGTCCGCGGCCACGAATGCTGGGGCGGCCTCGCCCCTCGCCGAGCCCTCTCAAACATCGGCCCCTTCATCCGCCTCGCTCTGCTGGGCATCATTCACGTAGGCACCGAGTGGTGGGCCTTTGAGATCGTGGCTTTGGCTGCCGGCCAGCTGGGCACCATCGCCCTAGCCGCGCAGTCCGTGATTATGACAGCTGATCAAATCATCAACACGATTCCGTTCGGCTTGGGCGTGGCCGCTAGCTCGAGAGTTGGCAACCTGTTGGGGGCGCGCAAGGTGAAGGAGGCAAGCAGGGCGTCGCATTGTGCCGTGGTGCTCAGCATAGTTGCTGGAGCGCTGATACTGGCGGTCTTGATGAGTGTCAAGGATGTGTTTGGACGCCTGTTTAATGATGATGAAAGGGTGATCAGGCTAGTGGCGGATGTGATGCCATTTGTGGCGCTGTTCCAGATCGCTGATGGCTTGAATGGATCCTGCGGAGGCGTGCTGAGGGGAACGGGGAGGCAGTGGGTGGGCGCGGCGGTGAATCTGGTCAGTTACTATGGCGGTGCGCTTCCGATGGGCATCTATCTTGCTTTCCACGTTTGGGGCCTCCAAGGGCTGTGGATTGGGCAATGTGTTGCCTTGTATCTGGTGGGTGTGCTCGAGTGGGCGATTGTGGGCATGAGCAATTGGGAAGATGAAGTCAAGAGAGCACTGTCTCGGCTGGATGATGGAGGGTTTGGGGAAAGTGGTGCCCATGCGTATGCTTATGGAGCTATCGGGGAGGGCCAGGTCGACGATGCAGTGGGGGTGGGACATGGAGGAAGAAGCGAACCGGTGTAATGTGAGGCCCGGTGGCTCGCTGATAAAATTTTGTAGGAATAGCTGATCCATTACCTGCGCAGGATATATAAAAAAAGTTTGACATCAAGTACACGGGCCGTCTTGGATTCACTTCCCCAGAGTCTCATACAACTGAGAATTTATAAGTTCTCGGGAGGTTTTGGCTTGAAACGTCTTTTCCCACACATGCCAATTGTTCGTGTTTTGCTGACATTCCCCTAAAAATCCAAGCCAGTGACGGTAAATTTGGCGATGGAAGTGAAGCGTTGAAAACCAAAAGTTCACCATCGATAGTTACTAGACAGTCACCTTTCGTAGCGAACACTTAGCGGCTGTAGATAACCCTAACCCTTCACAGACAGGAGTTCATTAGATGGCTCGCTCCCTAAAAAGCAACTTCTTCCGAAAAGACTTGAGCACATGTATGCTCACGAAGCTGGCACATCCTTGTGTCAGTTGTGTTTAGACACTCGTCCAGCTCGCGTAGAAAGGCAAAGACTGAGGTTAGTTGACTAACTAAACCCCTTGACGCACACACATGATACGCCCAGGCCTTTTGTGTTCGCTTGGACATTCCTGCAAGGCGACAGCACAAAACACCTTACCCTTCTCAGCTTGTCTGCCTTGTAGAGTTCTTTTCTTTTTTTTCCCCTTCGTTTTGTTCGAGTGAGAACGCTGAAGCCTTCCCCAATCCATTGGCTATTTCAGGGCTCACAGTGAATGTCACGGGATGAGACAGATCAATAAAGGACAATTACCCGAAAAGGACGCACTGCCTCCCTCTCCGGGCGAAACGGGCATGACAATGCGGTGAGTGGAGAAAGCCTGCCTGCCTTTGCCCGATAAGAATATGCTCTTCGGCTTTTAGCTCCTGGCTCCCAAGGTCCTAAGGATGAATGGTCAAACCTTAGTCAAAGACGTGCTAGCTGAGGTGTGCCAATCAGGCGTGCAGCGAACTGCAGAAGGCTGACGTACACTCCGAAAACGGGAAAGAGCCTTTTTTGGTAAGAGATTCGGGAGGTTGGCGAGGTTGGCATGGTATCTCGATCTCTTGAGGACAGGACTGGACTGGACTGGGCTGGAGAGGTGCCCGCGCGGCGCCCAGGCGGTGCGGTGCTGGCAGCACTTTCTTTGGGTTCTTTGGCCTTGTCATGCATGCAGTGGGCGGTCCGAGGCTCTCTTGCCTCCTCTGATTCGACCAAACACGCTAGATCATGAACGAGGCGGACGAATCGTTTGTTTTCTTGTTGGATCGTGGGCTTGCGGTAGTGCCCATACCATGCCATATCGATGCCATGTTGATGCAAGCAGGTCTGGTTCGTCCGTCTGTGTCTTCTGGCCGTTCCCGCTGCTCGTTCGTTGATGAGTCCTGGGCCCAAGGGGGACGAGGAAGCATGAATGGGTACGGCGTAAGCAGGCGACAATGGCCCAGAACCAGTTGGAATGTTTTATCGTTGGGCACAGACGCATCCCCATGCAACTCTCCATGTCCTTGCCTTGTCTTTGTTCTGTTGTGTTGTTTTGGTCTCCTGGGAAGAGTGAGCTCAAAAGAGAGTTCTTAGCCTGACTTGGCCAAAGAGTTGTCTGAAGGGCGCCTGAAATAGTTGCCCGATTCTAGGCAAAAAGGGATTGGAAAACAAGTCTGCGCAGTAATTGCACAAGACCAGGCAAAGGCGGCGGGGAAACGAGCGAGGATCCATGGTCTTGTCGGTCTGTAAGTGAGGTGAGGCCGCAACGCTGCAGCTGACAGAATCCAAGCCTGGCGCATTGGGTACATGGCAAGGGAAAGTTAGGTAGGGGTCAGGGTGCAGCTCTAAGGTAGAGGCATGAAAACTGACACGGCCTTGAACTCCCGTCGGAAGGTTAGCAGCATTCTTCTATGTAGCAGGCTATTCATCAAGGGCACCATCGTCAACGACATTTTGATATGATTGATAATAATGAATGATAGTGGACAGTACACTGTCAAGCTGTGTCCCTATCGAATCCTTCATCGAGCTCTAGTCGGCTCAACGGGAATGGACGGAGACAAGGAGGAGGGAGGGCGAGGTCGGAATGGCATCTCGCTCTTGATTCGAAGTTTCGAACAAGTGAGGAGTGCAGGGCCGTGTAGCGAACGAGAGAGGAGAGGGAAAGATGCCGGTAGGTCGCTGAGACGGTCAAAACATGACGGGATTGGACGGACGGACCACTGGGGGTTGCGAGGGGCGGGGCTGGTCGCATCTGGTGCAATCCCGGAGAAGTGCTTGTGCACCAATCAGTCGGGGAGACACGCCTTCCAAGTGGACGAGGCCGTGGCCGATAACTCTCGATAGCTGCTTCCCGGTGGGCTTTCCAGGTGCTGTCAGCCCCGCTCCACAGGTCTTGTCTGGCTCCATCCGTATAGGTGCGTGCAGACATGGAGCCTTGGCGCCACCATCTGGGCCAATCATCGGCCGCGAATCCAATTGGTGCTTGAACCTTGCGCGCCCTGCCACAAGGCTAATTCAAAGCCGAGTACCTGCTGCAGTCCCTCGTCGCTCCTCCGTCAGGTAGCTTTCAGTTTACCACCACAGCCTCACCTCACTGTATCTCAACCGGGGAGTACTTATCTGCTTAACAGAGGCTCTGGGCAACCTGGAACCTTGTGGTGGCTTGCACTTCCACTTCCCGGGCCCTCACCTCTTCATTTTCTGCTGTTGTCGAGGCGAGACAACCTGACCTCAGATTTCCCAACTGAACCCGACCTGAGCTCCTTCCCCCGCTTCTCTTTTCATCTTGTTGAGGCTGACCTGAACCTTTGCCGACCGACACGACTCACCTCGACAGTCTCAATCGCGACAACAACAAGAAATCAACACCACAGCGACTCTGGATTTTTACCCATCTTGATCAATTGTTTTCCTTCTTTCTTTCCCCGCCCTTGCCCTGTCTGTCCTGTGTGCGAGCTGTGCATAGGAAGGATATCTATCTCTGTGGCCCATTCCGCCAATTCGCTGTCCACAGGGTTCTCCCGTCATTGATTGGCGGCCATTGTAATCTGATTCTCTTCCGACAACGCATTTTTGGAATCAGCCAGACATCTCACTCTGTTTAGGCTGTCGTGCCCATCAAATTAAAGCCCCAAGACTGCCTCCTTGACGCATCTGCTGCCGTCTAGGTCGGCCGCTCGTAAAGGCTCGCTTGGGCTTTGTTGTGGCCTCGTCGAGTACAGCCTTATTATCGCGCCCTCAGCCAAATTCCTGTACCCTTGTCCTGTCCGGCCTGCCGTGTCCTTTGTGGCCTCGACTGATCCATACTACCGGAGAACTGATACTGCTATCTACCCTGCGCTTTCGAGCTTGCTCAGCCTCGAGACAGCTAGCTACTTCCTTGTCCTGCCTTCGAACACACAATCGTCGTCCTCGACCTCCGTCCCGCCGTCACCGCCCCTTGTGTGATACTCAAAGTGGCCGACATCAACGACGCCATGGACCCTCCATCGAAGCGGAGGAGACTGGCTCCCAAGGTTTCCGATGCGCCAGCCCAACCCGCTCTCCCATCGACGACTCCTCAGCCTCAGCCCCAAGCTCAAGCTCAGGCTCAGGGCCAGCCTCCAGCACAGTCTTTCCCTCAGGACCAGGTTAGTGGTAGCCTTGTTATTCCATCTGACATGTCTCTTCTAACCGTCCTCCTCCACAGCAGCACTTCCAGCCCGCCGCCGCCGAACCACTCGTGTCGCCAGCACAGTCTACCCAGTCCGCACCGCCTACCGAACGTGGAGAGTTCGAGGCCTACGCGAGACATCTCCAAGATGCTGCCATGTACATCAAGACAGTCAAGGAGCAACTTGTTCCTCACAGGAGCGTGTCGGTACTGATGCTGAGATGGGAGGAGGACCTCAGTGTTGAGGCAGACATGCTGCTCTTGGAAAGGGTGTTTCGGGACCGGTACAACTACAGCACCGAGAAATGGGTTATCCCTACTGTGCCCAACCCTAGCATCAAGCTAAGCTACCAGATGGCCTCGTTTCTCGAGAACGCCGGCCCTGATCACCTCTTGATTGTGTACTACGCCGGTCATGGTTTTGTTGGCCAAGACAACCACCTCTATTGGGCCTGGTAGGTTGACTCTCTTGTCGAACAGTATTGCCCCTGTTTCTCAGACTGACATTTACGGGTATAGTAACGCTCGCGACGATGCTGCCAAGCTCAAGTGGGACGGTGTCCGATGTCTGTTCGAAGATGCCCAGCCAGAGATTCTGCTCTTGTTAGACACCTGTGCTATCAAGGATTCACCTCCCGCCGGGAGTCATGGTACCAAACAGGTCATTGCCGCGTACACCCCGGAGCAGAGCTCAAGAGAGGCTGGACCCCGCTCTTTCACAGCTACCTTGGCTGATGCTCTTACCAAGCTTGCTAGTGGTCGTCCCTTCAGCGTTCAGAAGCTACTCGACGAGCTAATAACACTGCGGCAACACGAGAGCGCCCAAGCTGTTGCCAAGCTGGTCAATGGAACGGCCAAGATAGCTCCGCCCGAGAGAGTCCCTGTGACTTTCACCTTGACTCCTGCCAAGGGACGTGATATTGTTCTGGGACCCTTGAAGAAAGAAGTTGCACAGCTGCAGTCGCCTCCTCAATCCGCTGACGTGGATGGGGACGCCTGGAGGTCGACCCGCGATGACCAGCCGCTCACAGCCGCAGAAGTAGCCGACCTTACTTTCGAGGAGAGTAGTAGAGTGCTAGTGTGTACCACATTCGTGGGAGATGCGAGCGCGGACATGGGCTTCTTCCACCAATGGCTCCATAATCCTCCGTCCGTTGCCTCGAAAATTACGGTGGAGGGCATGTTCCTCGGGCCTCCCACTATGCTCTTGATCTCGATGCCGCTCTCGATATGGAACATCGTTCAGCACGACAAGGTCTGCTGCTTCCTGGGATACATCAGCTCGCACAACATGATTCATCTCTACCAACGACTCGTCAAGTCCGCCGTGAACGGCCAGCCGATGCCCAAAGACTTCGAGGATGGCCGCATTCTTCTTGAGGCACGAGAGGCTGCTGCAGGTAGCCCGTCTTTGAACCGGCGAGACCACACGAACCATTACTCTTCACTGGCACAGGAGACTCAACCACGTCAGGAGCACCGGGTCCCGCTTCCCACGCCCAACGGAGCTGTTCCGGTCACTCCTGGCCCTCCAGGTCAGATCCCCGGTCCCAAGACCAAAGACGACGCAGAAGATTCCGACGAGATGAAAGAAGCGGCAGAACAGTTGAAGATGCTGAGCGATCTCCACGCACAAAGCAACAGGGTGGGAGATAGTATTGCAGTTAGGCACCCTGAAGAGCCCGGTGCCTCCGATGTGAATGACACCGTTATGGATGAGATCCACTACGGCGTCCCCTATGGCACTCCTCGTGCCAAGGTTGGAGTGGTCAATGGCAAGATCCCCTCTGAAAGCCCAAGGGGTGCAGCAGGGAGGAGGCCGCTTCAGAAACAAGTGTCGAAGCAAGAGACGCGGTGTAGCCACTGTAGTCATGCGCCATTCAAGGACTCGTCTTCGCTCCGTAAGCACATAGCAGCTGCTCACACGAGGCCGTTCCCGTGTGCTTTCTCCTTTGCCGGGTGTGCAAGCACGTTCGGATCCAAGAATGAGTGGAAGCGTCACATAGCCTCTCAGCACCTGTGCCTGCAATATTACCGGTGCTCGGCCTGTCCACAAAGCAACGCTGATGGCAAGGGGAATGAGTTCAACCGCAAAGACTTGTTTACGCAGCATCTGCGACGAATGCATGCCCCGGCGATTCTCAAGAAGCCCGGTGCCAAGCCCGAGGCCGGACTTCTCGCCGAGTGGGAGGGGCACGTGAAGGAGATGCAAGCGTCATGTCTGGTAACGCGCAGGCAACCTCCTCAGCGATCGTCTTGTCCCAAACCCGACTGCCAGAACGCTTTTGAGGGCGCCGGATCTTGGGATGAGTGGACGGAACATGTCGGTCGACATATGGAAAAGGGAGAGGCTGATCGGATGGGCGTAGATCGCCTGCTCGCAGAATGGGCGCTTGATGAAGGTATTATTGAGCGCATCGAGGACGACAAGTATAGGCTCTGTCCGCAGAATGGATCAGCTATGCCTGCGGATAGGAACGCGAATCAGAACTCGGCTGCTGCTGAAATCACGAAGAAAGAGGATGAGGACCCCTCAATCACCGTGGCATTATCGGCGCCGGATTCGGACGGTATGGATGTGGACTGACCGTGGGGAGGAACTTGATCAAAGTCATTTCGTATCTTGGTGTTCTTTGTTTTTATTGGGATTATCGGGATCACGGCATCTTCCAGGCCATGGAGAGAGAAGCACTGCGACGCATATGGGTACTGTATAAGCATGATTAGAGAGTTGCTGGAGTTAGTATTTTCAGGCGGTGCTGGAGTCTTACAGCGAGCCTGGTATTTACATCACGGATGCTATTGTTTCGTTACTCTCCTGGAGCGTATTCTGAGGTGCAGCATCAGTTCAGCGTCTAGTCTTTCGCCCGCGGCTATATGGTTTGTGCATCCCTATAAGGGCCATAAACACAGGGGGCTGTCATGACCACTCTAATAGCGGCATATAAAATTTTTGAATTCCTTTGCGTTAGGTATCTGTTGACTTCATATACTCCGTCCGTACAAAGAGGATGAATCGGCTGATGAGGTGTAGTTGCAAAGGTGCCCCGAGCATGAGATTTACCACCTGCTGATTTGGGACTGTGCAGAAACGATGAAGCGAAATGGTAAAGCTGTCTGCCGTCCGTTCGGAAACCTCGGATATCGATCTGATGTTCTTAGAGCTATGAACTGGGTTCCAGTGAGGCTTGACAAGCTCAACCTTGGTTGCAGGATGAACTATGGGCTTGGTGTTGTTGGTCTAAATCTCGGCATCCGAACCTCACCCGGCTTTAGCAAACCACAACCGCGGTCGGAGTCTAGCCCGATCACAACCCAAGCTTGCAGGCTCCAACTCCGCCCGTTGATTCTCCGCCTTGGACGGTCGTTCTGGTGTTGGTTCAGTGGGCCAGCCTCGCATCCTCGATCCCGACATTCGGGCCTTTCTTGAGGAACATGGGCCATCAGTCCCACCTGCGATGCTACCCCCGAACTCTGTTGATGGAGTCTTGAGCCAATGGCTTTTCCCCAGGAATATTTATGCGGAGAAAAGCCAGGGGTAAGAGCGGGGGATGGGGAAGGTAAGACTGGGGGGGCGTCGGTGAATTGGAGAAAAGCAGGCTCACCGGCCAGCCAGAGAGCAACATGCAGTAGGAAAAGGCAAGTGGGCAGAGTATACCAAGACTTTGTTATTCACATGTTGACCGCCCATACTCCCCTCAACTGATGCTTTTCTTCACCACCTTCCAGCTAGTCGGGCTTGGTCTGTAGGAATAGGCCCGCTCAAAGCCTTGTCAACACCGACATGAGGCCGACACGAGGTCGGCTCCGATTCCATCGCGGGATTCGGGACGCTACGAACCTTTGCGGTCATGAGAGTTGGTGCGTTTTCGTTAGCAAAAACCTCATGACAATGTATGATTGAGTGCGGAGAGGTGGTACGGATTGGGAACCTTCAGCATGGCAGTCCCAAGGTTCTCAAGGTCCACAATGGCTCCCAAGGCGGCGTTCGCAATCGTTCCTTGCGTTGTCCCCGGATTCCCCCCAGCTTCCCCAACTTTGCAGCTTCCAACCGTCTGTGGAATATCGTCACTGGCCGATCTTTTCCTGATTTGCCGGGGCGGGAACTAACAGTGTTGCTTCCTCCAGATTTCCCCTGCTCGGTGACGATGTGGTTGGTCCAGACTGAAATGTGTATAAGTAAGAGCATGCCGCCTCCCGTGGTTCTGGTGTGAGGGACATTTAGAGTGGCATCTCTCCGGATCGCAATCTATTTCTCTTGTGTGTTTGTGTCACCAAACACCAACCAGCCGGACAGACTACAAGATGCTTGTGGGATCCCGTCTCGCGGCCCTCGGGCTGTTGGCTTCGTTCTGCTCTGCCGCCCTACCACCGGCCATCCGCGCCGTCAACAACGATCCGTTGGCCAAGTGCCCGGGCTATAAGGCTTCGAACGTCAAGACGAGCGCCAATGGCTTGACGGCGGAGCTCAAACTTGCCGGAAAGGCATGCAATGCCTACGGCACTGATCTGGACAACCTCGTCCTTGAGGTGACTTACGAAACGGGTGAGTTAGCCGATAAATCAACCAGATATTAAAAGGGACTAGAAAAGCTGACATCAAGGATTTGTGTGTTAGACAACCGCCTCCACGTCAAGATCCAAGATGCCGCCAACGATGTGTATCAGATCCCCGAGTCTGTCTTTCCTCGCCCGCAGGCAGCCAAGGGTACGAACTCCAAAAAGTCTGCCCTGAAGTTCAACTACAAGGCCAACCCTTTCTCCTTCTCCGTCACCCGCGCCAAGACCGGTGAGGTCCTCTTCGATACTTCGGCCGCTTCCCTGATCTTCGAGTCCCAGTACCTTCGCCTCCGTACCAAGCTCCCCAAGAACCCGAACCTGTACGGTCTCGGTGAGCACTCGGACTCTTTCCGCCTCAACACCACCAACTACGTCCGGACTTTCTGGTCTCAGGATGCCTACTCCACTCCTAACGGAGCAAACCTTTATGGCAACCACCCGGTCTACTACGAGCACCGCAAGAGTGGCAGTCACGGTGTCTTGTTCCTCAACTCCAACGGCATCGACGTCGTCGTTGACAAGAACAGCCGCTCCGGTCAATACCTCGAGTATAACTCCCTTGGAGGCGTCTTTGACTTCTATTTCGTGGCCGGCCCCAGCCCGATCGAGGTTGCTAAGCAATACGCCGAGATCACCAAGGTCCCTACCATGATGCCCTACTGGGGTTTTGGCTTCCACCAGTGCCGCTACGGCTATCAGGATGCCTTCGAGGTTGCCGAGGTTGTCTACAACTACAGCCAGGCCAGCATTCCCCTTGAGACGATGTGGACCGATATTGACTACATGGACCGCAGAAGGGTCTTTACCCTGGATCCTCAGCGTTTCCCTCTCGCGACCATGAGACAATTGGTCGGCCACCTCCATGAGAATGACCAGAAGTACATTGTCATGGTCGATCCTGCCGTGTCGGCGGCAGAGGGACCTGAGAACCCCGCTTTGACCCGCGGTATCGAACAAAACGTCTTCCTCAAGCGCGATGACGGTTCCCTCTACAAGGGTGTCGTATGGCCTGGTGTCTCGGTCTTCCCCGACTGGTTCTCCGCCAACATCACCCAGTACTGGGACGATGAGTTTGCTCAGTTCTTCTCTGCGAGCTCTGGCGTTGACATTGACGGTCTCTGGATTGACATGAACGAACCCTCCAACTTCCCTTGCTTCTTCCCCTGCGACAACCCCGAGAAATCCGCTATCGGCTACCCGCCTGAGCCTCCTGCTGTGAGGACTCCTCCCCGGGAGCTCCCTGGCTGGCCTTGCGTCTTCCAGCCCGAGGGAACCGAATGCAAGGAGAAGAAGGCCTTGACCATTGAGGCCCCTGCCAAGCGTGATGTTCTTATTGCTGAGCGTCAGGAGACTGTCGAGGTTAACATTGCTGCCGGCAAGCAGCTTGGTCTTCCTGGCCGTGACCTTCTCTTCCCCAAGTATTCGATCCACAACAAGGCTGCTTACCTGGACTCTTGGAACGCCGACAAGGGCGGTCTCTCTAACAAGACCGTGAATACCGATACCATCCACCAGAATGGCCTGGCTGAATATGATGTTCACAACCTTTACGGCACCATGATGTCGATTCAGTCCCGCGGAGCCATGCTTGCCCGCCGTCCTGGCCTCCGCCCCTTCATCATCACTCGCTCCACCTTTGCTGGCGCCGGCCACTCGGTTGGCAAATGGCTCGGTGACAACATTGCCGACTGGCAACACTATCGCGAGAGCATCTACACAATGATGGCCTTTGCTTCTATCTACCAGATCCCTATGGTGGGCGCTGATGTTTGTGGCTTCGGTGGAAACACGACCGAGTCGCTCTGCGCTCGCTGGGCCATGCTCGGTGCCTTTGCTCCCTTTTACCGCAACCACAACGAGTACCTTCCCGTCATCGGCCAGGAGTTCTACCGCTGGGAGAGCGTGGCTAAGGCCGCCCGCAAGGCCATCGATATCCGCTACCGCCTGCTCGATTACATCTACACTGCCCAGTACAAGCAGTCCCTGGATGGTACCCCCATGATCAACCCCATGTTCTACCTTTATCCCAAGGACGCCAACACCTTTGGCCTCCAGCACCAGTACTTCTACGGTTCCGGCCTCCTCGTCGCTCCCGTCACTGAGGAGAACTCGACCAGTGTTGATGTCTACCTTCCCCACGATATCTTCTATGACTGGTACACTCTTAACGTCGTTTACGGCAAGGGCAAGACCGCCACCGTCAAGGACCAGAGCTTGACTGATATCCCGCTCTACCTTCGTGGTGGCGTCATTGTTCCTCTCAGGGCCAAGTCTGCCATGACCACCACCGAGCTTCGCAAGCAGAACTTTGAGCTCATCGTCGCGGTCGGCAAGGATCTCATTGCCGAGGGTGAGCTTTACCTTGATGACGGTGTCAGCCTGGAGCAGCAGGGCGTCACGAACATCAAGTTCAAGTATGCCCTGGGCGTTCTGACCGCCAAGGGTGACTTTGGATTCAAGACCGATCTTAAGATCACCAAGATCACCGTTGTCAGTGCTTTGAGGAAGAAGAGCGTGGATGTCAACATCCCGTTGACCAAAGGTTTCACTGCTGTGCTCTAAAGGGTGGTGGTATACAGAAATAGTGTGTTGCAACTCATGGGCCGATGATTATGATTGATGAGAGAAGTTTCTTGCTACCTCTAGGATACGGTAGAATGACCTGCCTTTGTACCATCGCATGAACAAATAATAACCACGATATACATGTTTCCACTTCCTGCCATCATACCGCCTAAGTGAAGACAGCTGAGTTCGTCAAGAGACAGACTAATACCTGAGTTGAGTTTATCTGTTGTTACCTTATTACCTATGCAGGTCCTTGCAAAACCATCGAGTCAATGGTGCATGTGACGGTCGTACCGCTGACCGATGCCCTCGCACCAGAAATGGCGTATCTTGTAGCCGCGTTATAGTTTTCTGGCTTTCCTGTGCACCATGCCGAGTTCGTGCTTCCAGTCGCAACCTGTTCAGGGAAGTTAACATTCCTTTACATTGAGAGTGGGAGTCAAAGATTCCACTGCCCGGGATGACACTCACAATTTTGACGTTCTTGAATGTCAAGGCCCCGAAGTTCCACGGCACATCATACCTATTTCACCCGTCAGTACTAGCACCGCGGCTTTAGTTGGCTTTGGGGGTTGGACGGGAAAGAATGCTTGAAACTTACAGTTCAATGGCGAAGATGGCCTGGTTGAAAGATTTGCCCGCTGTCGTACAAGTCCAGAGTATCAGCACCCACACCTTTTCTTCCCCATCATTCTGCCCTTGGTTCAGAGCAGGCTTTCCCCGTGGACTCACCAAGAGGAAAGGTATTGGACACGGGCGAGCCGTTAGTTCCCCTTGTCGTTATCGTAGTCCATCCGCCCCCGTCACTGTTCAACACATTCGAGAAGCTGTTCGTCTCCCCCACATACGTGTTGAACCCGCCGCCCCACGGCAGCGAAGGGTTAGAACAACACCATCCTGATCCAAACCACCAGGTGCCGCTCCGTCCGTCAAGCACGTTCTGATACACTCCGCTGTTGTCGGTCGGCTGGAGGCCCGGCCAAAGGTAGTAGACTGCCGCTTTGGGTAGAGCTGGGATGACCATTTGTCCACTGAAGGCAGTGAACCTGGCTCCTGAAGGGGTGTTGTAGCGCAGGAAGTACCATGTTGCGGCGGTAGCCCGGCTGGCAAACAGAAGAACAGGAAGAAAGATAACGGATAGAAGCTGCATCTTTGCTTGATGACTCGAGGTCTGGACGTCGCAGGGTCAGGCGAGGGTAAAGAAAAGGAGGGAGGTTAGGTATGGTAAGGTTGGTCTTCATGTTTCCCATAAAATCAGGGAGAACCTTGCCATTATATGTTTTCTGGTTGATTAGAGGTACCATTGAATGTTTCAAGGCCCAAATGTTTGGATCCCTACTGGTGGAATGATGTTTGGCTCATGGGGCAACATTTACCCAAAGTGCTACGGCACTGAATATCCCGGCGTTGCAGTTGAAACGTTGAAGCCTTAAGAAGAAAAGCAAGATCATAACAACACTCCAATATCATCACGGTCACATGCAACGCGCCTCTAGCTCCGTGGTGACTTTCGATTTGCATGAACAAAAATACTTGATGCGTGCCTAGGCTCGTGCTGTTAAAATGGTACGCATTGACAAATCTGCCGACCAGTTCTCGCACGCACTAGCACGATCCGAGCCTTTCAAAACGCGGGAGGCAGAATGAAGCGTAGGGTGTACAATGAAGCAGCCGTGAGGAGAGTTGGTGGCAACGACAACAGAGAAAGGAGAGAACAGGGGAAAAAAGCCCGACACACGGAAGGCGGAAATATGCCAACATGTTGTTGAATGCTTAACTCACTCCTCGGCCTTCACCCATCCCTCCTCAATGTTCTGCTTCCTGCTCCTTTGACTCCATTCAGGCGGCACATCAATACCTTCTTCTTCCTCCTTCTCGCCCTCCTCCTTGGTCTTATGCACCGATGTTGGCTTGTGCTCAGCCGGTGAGTAGACGGTGTAAAGAATCAAGGGGGTAGGTCCTTGGTTCAGGAACTGATGCTTTGTTCCTGCTGGTACAATTACCATATCGCCTGCCTTGATCTTCTGTTCCTTGCCCCCAACTTGGGCGAGGCCGACGCCCGAGGTAAAAGTGAGAATTTGGTCCCTCGTATGAATCTGCCATGACTTAGCATCCCTGACCGGTATATGTAGAGGTAGTAATAGCACTAGACAGGCCGCGGGATACTTACCTCTTCTCCGATATCTCCACCCACGGGGATAGTCATCAGTACGAGCTGAGAGTAGAGCCCGGTCCACAGAACACGACGGAACTCGCCAGACTCAGACGGCAAAGCTGTCGTCATGTCGGGGAAATACTGCATTTCATGCTTGGGAGGATCGCTACTGGGGGTCTGGAATGGAACCATTGTGCGTTGGAGCAGCTTCGCGTGGTGAAACTGGCAATGATCTAGTCGCCTTGTCCTCCGAAGGTCTAGTAAACAATGTGTATAGAAAGCGCCTAGTACGAAACTCTGTTGAGTTCTACCTGAGCAGATGGAGCGATGAGTGACGCGGGAGAGCATTGAGTCCTAGAAGGAAAATCACAAGGAAACGGAAACTCAAATAGCGAAACGAAAACGCCGACGAGATGCAGGACGCCTGCAGTCTTTGGGGTTTTGTAGTGGATAAATCATAACGTCATCATAATGACCCAGATGCCGCATAGACTATTCCAGCCCATGTACGAATGGATCGACACAGGGGGATAAAGAACGTAGGTTATTACCCCGGGAGTTAGGTAGGGGAACCTGGGAACATCAAGACCCTAGAAAAGAAACGAGGCAACACGAACAGAGCGCATTCTCTCACGATTAGCTTGAGTTCCGAATTCGCGACTTCCATTTCAGACCGGTCGACCGACAATGAACTCTAACCCATAAGTTATGCCCACGAATGTCCAGTAGTTCGTCGGTTATTTTCTTTACCCTCAGCCCTCAATATCGAACTCCTCATAGTACCGATAAAGGCCACTGCTGTACTTCTGCCGACGAGGACCCTCGAGGTATTCCTTGAGCTTGGGCCTCTGCTTGACAGCATCGTACAGCTCAAACAGCTTCGAGTGCTTACCCTCCTTCTCCAACTTCGCCATAGCCTTGGGGAACATGAACTTGAGGCCATCCAGACACTATCTCATGTCAGTCTTTATGTGAACAGCAACCGGTGTTTTTATGGCATGGAACATACCTGGAAGAGGACCAAATCCGCATATGACAGCTTGCCTGCGTAGAGGTAGGGGCCCTCGCCGCTGGCCTTCGAGTTCAAGACCCTTTCAAAGTAACCGAGAAACTTTGGCAACCGCGTCTTGACGTAATGTTCGGCCTTCCGTTTGGCCTCTTCCTTTTGGTCCTCATAGTACAGCTCAGATGCGATTGGGTGATGGCAGTCGTGGGGCTCATTGCTCAAGCCATCCAGCGCCGTAAGTGCCAGCTCGTTGACCTTGTACAAAGCATCCGGATCCTCCTCGACACCGGGTACGAGACCCAATCGCGGACCGAGGTACAGCAGAATGTTGGGGGTTTGGCTGATGACAAGATCACCGTGCTTGAGGATGGGTGGCGCAAAAATAGGAGGGTTGGTATCGTCGTCAGGTTTCTCGCCCTTTATGTGAGCCATGACCTCGTCGATACCTCCCTCGGTTTTGGCCGTGTCGACGTACTCGGCACCGGCCTCCTCGAGGGCAAGCCGGATGAACTCGCCGCGGCCGGGGATCTCTGGCCAGTAGGTGAGGCTGTAGGGCACATCCTTGTTGGACTTCTGTCGCTTTGCTGCCGCACCTTCGGACGACATCATGAACCTTTCAGCTGCGGTTGACAGGGCAGTGGCACTAGGAGGGGTGGTAAACGGAACACGCTGCAAAGGGGCGGATGGCAGTTGATGTGAAGCTAATGATATCGGAAGGTACAAGGCAACAGGTGTAATCGCTCTGAGCCGGCCCAGTTGTCTACAATAATGTCCCACAGATAGGAGGGGACGGGTGGTGAAGCGGACCATTCGGATAAATAAATCGCTGACGTAAAAACCAAGACAGACAAGCTTTCGGTCCCGTCAGAGGCGGGTGCGGACAATACAGAAGATGGGGTAAGCTTGCATTTCCCCGCATTCGTTCGGTGGAGTGGCCAGCAAGGTGCCTATGCCCCATCAAAATTGAACAATCACTGACAGAAAAGTAGACTATTGTACAAAATGGGTATCCGTATCATTCATCAGTCATAACGTCCAAGCAAACTAAATAACATAACGGAAAGACCATGTCCGCCTTCTGACCCCATGACGGGAAGAGGTGGTGGGTGGCCTCGGAATATATACGTGCCACCTCCAAAGCCAGATCTTACTAAGTCGACGAGGCAGGTACCACAGCAGGTCTCAGGCAAAATTCACACGACTAAAGCACATGACTCAAGTGTGAGCATTGGACCTGGCATACCGCCATCACCAGACGCAACTCACAGCTCGTTCGTAGAGAGGTAAAGAGAAGTGCCGTAAACAACTTGGCCTCTAGCCCATCACTCTTTGAATCCGTTCACGGCACTCGGCAGGATCCTCAAACACATGCCACGCCTCTCTGCAGGTATCGCAAGGTTAGATCCAATACTCAAAAGCGGACCTCAGCCGTACAAAGTCGCTGCACATACCTTGGGACACCCTTAAACGCTTCTTCGAATCGCTTGGGAGCATTCTTTGTTTCCGTACCGACAGCGGCAATGTCAGTAACTTTCCGGATGAGGATCAGTTTGATCCATTCTGGATGCTTCCTGTACATCTCGCCTGCAGAACATTATGCCAACTGTTAGCCAGCCAGTGGGGTTTCTGGTACGGTTCACTTGTTCTCTTTCCGAATTAAAGGTATCATCAGCTCACCATATGCTTCGGGGTCGCTTTGCGTTGAATCGCCGATACAGATCATCTTCTTCTTTGGTAGCCACTCGTACAGCTTCTTCATGCGATCGACCTTGTACTTTTGGGTTCCCAGCGTAAGATTGGAGAGCAACCCTGGAATGGTCATCCAACTGGCATCTCGCAGGATCAACTGGCCCCGGGGATAGTAACGGTGAGTGAAGTTCCGGAGGAAAGGGTAAAGGTTGTATGGTGATGCCGACAAATAGAACCACGGTGCAGACGGCGTCACCATGTCCTTGATTTGCCAGTATAGCTCTGGCATGCCTGCGATTGGCGTCGGCTCTGCCTACAGAAGGGTGAGATACCATCAATGTCCGAGGTCTATCATCGAACGCGGAGAATGCTAAACTTACCACAAACGTGGACCGTAGGATTCCCACAGGATCACTCGTTTGCGTGATCTTGATAGTGTCATCAACATCTGTTTTAGAGGATCGGGTGTTAGAAGCACACATCGGGCGGTTTGTGTGGGGGAAGAAAGCTGTCTCTCGATCAAAAGACGGCCCGAAGACCACAAGCATACCAGAAATGACAGCCCAGCCCTTAGGCTCCGTATAGAATGTGTTCATTTCCAGCAATCCTCCTGCGCCAGATGGTACTTCGGCTGCTGACTTTACCACGGTTCCAGCTGCTGAGTCGGGGAGCTTCTTCAGGTCACTGCTGACTCCGTTCCTGCCTCCAGGGCCCAGCCGCAACGCGGTAGACTCGCCAAACTTGATATCGACACGTCTTCCAGGGAGGACCTCCATGAGAAAAGGAGTAATGCGCTGCTCAATCGTCTTCTCCTGCTTGTCGCCCTTGGAGAGACCCACTTTTTCGGCGATGTCGCCGACAATCTCAACGAACTTGGTTGATACGCGCGCGTCGAAAACAGCCGTCACAAACTCTGCCTGCCATGTACCATTTGGGCCGCGAAAGGCAACATTATCGAAAAGCCAAACTGCGTCGTTCTTGGACACGCCAATCGGTATGGGGTTCAGTCGGCCAAGGTAGGAGAGTAGATGGGTAACCTTGAACTTTTGGACAAGGCCTTGGGATTTCATCATGTTAGCGAGGGATGTCTCGGCAGGCTCGAAGCCTTGATCGCGCCAGGTCTGGTGCTCGAGCATGCTCGACTCAGAGCGGCGGTATGTGGACGGAAGCGACATGGTGAATAGCCGCTGCTGAGGTTCACTGTCGGAAGGTAGGTGGTCGAGGCCTTGGCGGGAGGAACTTGATCAAGAGCATGAAAGCAAACGGGATCACCAAGAGCCAGCTGAAGACACAAAACATG